CTTCCCTAAACTAGCCAGGCCCAGTTCCTGCAAACGATCTTCATAGGAACAGAACAAAATAGCAGAGTTGGAAGAGGGACCTTGTAGGTCATCTAGTCCAACCCCTTAATCCTACACCATTTCTGACAGAGGGCAAATCCAGTCTCTCCTTGAAAGCTTCCAGTGATGGAAGCTCCCACTACTTCCGAAGGCAACTTCTGTTCCATGGGTGGATGGTTCTCACTGTCAGAAAATTTCTCCTTATTTCCAAGTTGAATCTCTTCTTGTTCAGTTTCCAGCCATTATTCCTTGTCTGGCCTTCGGGTGCCTTGGAAAATAGCTAGACCCCCCCATACTCTCCATGGCAACCCCTCAAATATTGGAACAGAGCCGTGAAGTTTATTGAGCTATCTAGAATATGTTGGCCTCTCTCTCTTTCCCCTTCTTTAGCCTCACATACACTGACAAAAAGTCCGATCAGGGAGCGTTTTAGTGAGCTTTGTTCCACTTTATGACTTTTCTTCCTCCGTCGAAGCGTTGCATTCGTTCAGGGAGTCACCCCTGGTCACTGAGCGAATCTGGATTCCCCATTGACTTTGCTTGTCCGAAGGTCGCAAAGGGGGATCGATCACATGACCCTGCGACCGTCGTAAATGCGAACCAGTGGCCAAGCTTCTCGATTTTGAACACGTCGCCACGGGGATGCCGCAACAGTTACAAGGCGCTTTTTTTTCCCAGGACCGTCGTAAGTTTGAATGGTCACAAAACGAACGGCTGTAAGTTGAGAACGAGCTGTATTTTTATCCTGTTCCCTTCTTTTCTTTTCATGCCGGGATATTTAGCTCAAGGCAATAATAATAATAATAATAATAATAATAATAATAATAATACAACTGCACCCAGCTGAGCTGAGGAGGCTGGCTTCCATTTGCTGTATCATGCACACTGCGTGCACAAACGATTCATTTATTAAACCATCGATACAAACGTCCTTTGTGATAAGGTTGGGGTTGTGTACTGTACAGTATGTGTTTTAGAGGAGTCACGTGGATCAAGGCCTCTCGGGCGTGGCGGCAAACCGAAGAAAAACATTGATAATTTCTTGGTTTGATGGTTGGGAGCCAGCCAGAGTTTATGACACTCAGGTAGCCTTCCCGTTTATAATAATAATAATAATAATAATAATAGTTTTAATAGTTTTAATAGTAATAATGAAGAATTAGTGAATAATAATAATATTAGGTGAACTATGGATACAAACTTGCAAAGAAAGGATTGAAAATTTCGCATTTGTTGTACATGGATGATTTGAAGCTGTTTGGTAAAACAAAAAGTGAACTGAATTCACTAATTGAAAGTACAAATAAGGGTTTAGCTAGGACATCGGCACGCACTTTGGAATTGAGAAACGTGCAACAATGGCAGTCAAAGGAGGCAAGGTCATAGAAGATGATGGAATTGACCATGAAGAAATGATAAAGGCAATGAAACCAGAAGCAGAGTACAAGTACTTGGGGATTTTAGAAGCCTCTGATTTAATGCATAATAAAGTCCAGGAATCAACTTCGGCCAAATACTTTAGAAGAATTCGCAAGATTTTGAAGTCCAAATTGAATTAGGAGAATTAGAAGCACTTTATTGTCATTGTACAAGTACAACGAAACTGTGGATGCACCCCAGCAACAGTTCGCAATACAATAAAACCAAAGCACTTAAAAATGAAGATAAGAAAAATAAGAGTACCCGCATCTCCGTTTGCAATTTGAGAGTACAATATTGAGTGGTGTAAACATGATAAAAGCAATAAATACCTGGGCTATACCTGTGATTCGATACTCTGCAGGAATAATCGACTAGACCCAGATGGAGCTGGACAATTTGGGTGGAAAAACAAGGAAGTTTATGACTACGAATCGTGCTTTGCGATTCATAAAAGTGATGTTGATCGATTATATCTATTGAGAACAGAGGGTGGTCGAAGTCCCCTACAAGTAAAGCAGACTGTAGAAGAAGAAAGTCACAGCTTGAATGACTACATCCAGAAAAGTGAAGAGCCAGTGATCAAGGAAGTACATAAAAGAGGCCTTTTGAAGACAAACCAAGTCAAAAGCTGAATGCAAAAAAGAAGCAATTGATAAGCGAATTGAAAATTGGAACAAGCGAAGCTATGCACGGCCAATACCTGAAAAGTATTGAAGGCAAAAATGACCAAATGCTTACATGGAATTGGCTAAGAATACTGAAAAAAGAAACTGAAGGCTTTATTTTGGCTGCTCAAGAACAAGCCTTAGACACAAATTGCATGAAGGCAAAGATTCAGCAAGTCACCACCAACAGCAAATGCCGCCTTTGTAATGAGAAAGATGAAACGGTTGACCATTTGATCAGTGGATGCCGCAAACTTTCACAAACCGGCTACCTAGAACGCCACAACCGAGTTGCGAAAAGCATTCGCTGGAAACTATGCCAAAAGTTTGGATTTGAATATAATAACAACTACTGGGAACATCCGGTTGAGAAGGTTCTGGAAATGAAAAAGTCAAGATTTTGTGGGACTTCAGAATTCAGACAGACAGGCCTTTGGCCCACAACACGCCTGACGTAACACTAGTTGAGAAGCAAAGGCTTTGGTTCATTGACATTGCAATACCTGGTGATGCACGAGTTGTAAACACACAGCAAGAAAAAAAATCACAAAGTATCGGGACTTACAAATTGAAGTTGAGCGACTTTGGAAAAAGAAATCGTGTGTTATCCCAATTGTAATTGGAGCCCTTGGAGTAATACTTAAAGGGCTGCCTCGCTATTTGAAAATCCTGAATTTATCAGACTTGAATACCCTGATTCTAGAAAAAAACCACCCTACTTGGAACAGCATATATCCTCCGACGCTACCTGAACAGTTCCTAGGTCCTTGGTTAGGACTCAAGCTGTTGAGCTACCAACCAGCCCCAAAGGCTGTGAATCTCACCAAAGATTTAATAATAATAATAATAACAATAACAATAATAATAATACTTTATTGTCATTGTATGTACAGTATATACATACAATGAAATTCACATAACACCCAGAGATCAGACTCAACACACACACACATGACAATCCCCAAACATAAGTTATCATAAATAAATTGTCGAAATTGTGAGTGCTCCAACAGAGGAGGTTTTTAAGAAGAGGCTGGATAAGCGTTTGTCTGAAATGGTTTATAGGGTTTCGTGCCTGAGCAGGGGGTTGGACTAGAAGACCTCCAAGGTCCCTTCCAGTAGTCCACTTTTGGTCTCTCCACCAATCTGAATATTGCATCCAGTTTTGGTCGCCACGATATTAAAAAGATGTTGAGACTCTGAAAAGAGTGCGAAGAAGAGCAACTAAGATGATTACAATTAGAATTAGAATAGAATAAGGAATAAATAAGGATGAATAGAATAGAATAGAATAGAATAGAATAGAAAAATATGGAATGGAATGGAATGGAATACAAAATATGGAATGGAACAGAACAGAACAGAAAAATGGAATGGAATGGAACGGAAAATATGGAATAGAATAGAAATATGGAATGGAATACAAAATATGGAATGGAACAGAACAGAACAGAAAATATGGAATGGAATGGAACAGAACAGAACAGAATAGAAAAAATGGAATGGAATACAAAATATGGAATGGAACGGAACAGATTGGAACAGAAAATATGGAATGGAATGGAATGGAATATATGAGATAGAATAGGATGAGTTGAAAGGGACCTTGGAGGTCTTCTAGTCCAACCCCACTGCTTAGGGGCCTGGAGACTAAAACATATGAAAAGCGGTCGCAGGATTTGGCTACTCTAGAGAAAAGACTAGGGGTGACATGATAGCAGTCTTCCAGTTAAATGAATCCGGCTTCTCCACCGGCTTGCCAGAAGTTCGCAAAAGGGGATCACGTGACCTCCGGGGACACTGTGACTGTCCTAAATATGAGCCAGTTGCCAAGTATCCAAATGTTGATCACGTGACCACGGGGATGCTGGAACAGTCGTAAGTGTGAAAAACGGTCCTAAGTCACTTTTTTCAAGAAGTGAGGGGAGCCAAATGTCCACTCATAAAATATTTCTATGGTCTTTTTAGAGTTGCCAACACAAAGGGAGCGGGGAAAGCGGCAGCTTGGAAATCAAAAGTGCATTCCATAAATAGTTTTTTCAAAGATAGTAACTAGGAGACTGAAGTTTCTGCCATGCAAATATCTAACTGGAGAACATGATTGATGACTCTGGGCTATGGAGATGTCCCATTGGAGGATATGAATTACGATACACCCAGAGGTTTCGGGGGAAAACCGGGGTCAAGGGTGACAGTGAATTATGTGCTTCAGTGTTGGCTCCACCCAGGCAGTGCCGGACATGTTAACCTCCCAATAAATCCTTTTGAAGTTTTGGAAGTTGGGCTCAAGACTCATGATTTAAGTGGGTAACTGCCAGAATCCTGACACCGTTGAAACTTTGGCCACTAAATGAACAGTTATAAGTCGACGACTAGCTGTATATGAGAAGGAGGATGTACAATTCTGCGTTTTGATTAGGTATTTGAGATAAAACGATTGGCGTCCTTTTGATTGGGAGATCATTTAGATTTAAAAGTGTTATTGCGGTTTGTTATATTTGTCGTAAGCCTCCCGGGGCGGTATTGAATTAAGTGGTCTCAAAAGTACCTGAAATAAATACATTCCTGTGCTGGCTGTCTTCATTTAGCAGCCACAACTGGGATCAGCAACACGTCCCATTAAGCGAAGCAGTCGCTAAGTGAAACTGCTCCTCTCCACACGGTCTTCGTTTAGCTGTCGTTTGCTTTGCCAGCCCGTGAAAATTGCAAATCGAAGGATCGGTCGTAAAGTTGTTATTATTTTCCCCCTATCCCTGTTGTAACCATGAACGGTCAGTCTCCGAGGCGGTTGCTAAACGAGAACTACTTGCAATAAGTAAATGCTCCTCTTTTTTAAAAAAAATAATAATCTTTTTTTGTTGTTGTTGTTCACAGCTGGTCAGTGAGAAGGTCGGCGGGGCGGAAGGAACCAAGCTGGATGAAGACTTCAAAGAAATGGAGAAGGTGTGTAAAGATAAACAACTAACAATGCATGGGGAACATGGTTTGTGTGGTATGGGCAGTGTCTACATCAGGGCTCTCCAAATTTGGCAACTTTTAAGACTTTGTGGACTTCAACTCCCAGAATTCCCCAAGTGATTCTCTTGCCTGGGGAATTCTAGCCGTTGAAGTCCACAAGTTTGAAAGTTGCCAAGTTTGGACATTCATTGTGATGACCCAAAGGGATGTGACGTAAAAGCAATACAGTCAGATAAGCAATTACAGTCCCTTTATTATCTCCAACTTTGTCCCCAGTGTCCAAGTTACCTTCGGGCTGAAGAAAAACATAGGCGTTTGAAAGGATGTTTTTTAAAATTTAATTTCGATTTAAGTCTGCAATTTAGAGGCCGCATAATTCCACACGCATCTGAGCAGCTTACACCTTTAAAAGGGAGAAGCAATCACGATAGAAAAAAGAACATGGATGCACAAAAAGCAACAATTCATAACAGTTTTTTAAAAAAATCCTACAAGGTTCGTATCCCAAGGCCTGGGAAAAGAACTAAGTTTTCAACAATTTCCAGGATATAAACTTGACGGCAAACTGCACTCCTTACTGGCACTGATGATGTTACCTAGTTGGGTCATGAAACATCTGCAAGAAAAAAAGCAAGCTACAAATATTCTCCTTTTTTAAACTAAAGGCCAGTGTAGTGCTTTACTGTATTTTCTTGCCGTTCTGCTCCAGACATGACATATTCCTCAAATTGTTTATTCTAACAAGGGATTTGCCAAATCCCTTCACTGAATTTACTTTGCCTTCAAAAAAAAAAAATACATCCATCGAGAACAAGTTTTCCCTAGGAATTTGTGCAAAACCCTTGAAAATCACTCATCTAAACCAGAAACTTAAAAAAAAACCAGACAACCTGGCAACCTGGCATTTCTGTTGCTAAGTGAGATGGTTGTTAAGTGAGTTTTGCTCCATTTTGCAACCTTTCTTGCCACCGTTGTTAAGGGAATCAGTGCAGTTTTGAAGTTAGTAACAAAACAGTTAAGCCAAACTGAAATTCAATGTAGACAAAATGAAATTCAGTGTAAAAGTCCTACACTTAGGCGAGAAAACCAAAATGACACATATAGACTGGGTGAAACCAGGCTTAATAGCAATAGTAACTGTGAGAGCGATCTTGGAGTCTTAGTAGACAACCAGCTAAATAGGAGCCAGCCGTGTCAGGCAGCAGCAGCCAAAAAAGCTAATGCAATCCTAAATTGCATTAACAGAGGGATACAATCAAGATCAAGGGAGGTACTAATACCACTCTATAAAGCCTTAGTAAGACCACACCTAGAGTACTGCATCCACTTTTGGTCACCACACTATAAAAAAGATGTTGAGACTCTAGAAAATGTGCAGAGAAGAGCAACCAGGATGATTAGTGGACTAGAGACTAAAACATAGGAAGAATGATTGCAGGAACTGGGCCTGGCTAGTCTAGAGAAGAGAAGGACCAGGGGAGACAGGACAGCAGTCTTCCAGTATTTGAGGGGCTGCCACAGAGAGGAGGAAGGGGTCAAGCTATTCTCTCCAAGGCATCTAAAGGCCAGAGAAGAAACAATGGATGGAAACTGAACAAGGAGAGATTCAACCTGGAAATAAGGAGAAACTTTCTGACAGGGAGAACAAATCAACCCATGGAACAGAAGTTGGCACTTGCCATCACTTGAGACTTTCAAGAAGAGATTGGACTGCCATCTGTCAGAAATGGTGTAGGGTCTCCTGCTTGGGCAGAGAGGGTTGGACTAGATGACCTACAAGGTCCCTTCCAACTCTGATTATCTTGTTATCTGTTAAGTCAATTAGCTGAAGTTGTTAAGTTAGCCACAAGGTTGTTAAGTGAATCTAGCTTTCCACATTGTCAGAAGGTCATAAAAAGAGGTCATATGATCCTGCAACATTGCCACCGTCATAAGTATGAACCAAAAGCATCTAAATTTTGATCGTGTGACCATGGGTATGCTACGAAAGTCATAAGTGTAAAAAACAACGGTCACAGGTCTCTTTTTTCACTGCCATTGTAACTGTGAACAGTCACTCAATGAAGAAGCTGTAAGTTGATGAATACCAGCATATAAATTTCCACGCAGGCTTGTAATAGTTTTCAGAAGAAATGAAACCAAACTCCCGTTCCCTGCCCATTAAAAGTTAACATATTGAAAGCAAGAAATATCAGTAGAATAAGAATGGAACAGAGAATAGGATAGGATAGAGAACAGAAATAGAGATAGAAATAGAACAGAAAACAGAATAGGAGAATAGATATAGAATAGGAGAATAGAATAGAGAATACAATAGAGAATAGAATAGAAAATAGAATAGAATAGAATAGAGAATAGAATAGAACTCAATTCTTTATTGGCCAAGTGTGATTAGACACACAAGGAATTTGTCTTCGGTGCGTAAGCTCTCAGTGTACACAAAAGATATAAGTGATGAATCATGATCATAGTAGTCATAAATACACGAATCACAAATCATAAGATACAACTCTTAGTGATAGTCATAGGTTACTAAATAAGCAGTCAACATAAATCATACTAGGAAACCAAGTAAAACAATATAAATCGTGAAGATACAAGCAACAAAGTTATAGTCATAAGAAGATAAGGAGATCCATAATGGGAAAGATGGGAAGAATAACAGTAATAAGAGTCTTGGTAAATAGTTTGACAGTGTTGTGGGCCTTTGTTGTTTAGCCGAGTGATGGCATGGGAGTCGAGGGAAAACTGTGCTTGTGTCTAGTTGTTATGGTGTGCAATGCCTTATATAACGTCATTTTGAGATAGATTGCCGTTTAAGTTTGCAATAGGTAGTCATTTCAATAGATTGAAACTTCTGGGCAGAATAATAACATCTTTGGCCTGGCAAATACAATGCAATTATATCTAATATTGTTCTGATAGGGAGGGCATTCCAGGGCTGGGTGTGGCCACTAATACAATTATTTGCTCTCAGGTGAGCAACCTGCATATATCATTTTCGCCGTACACCTGGCGCCATGCTCAAAAACACAACAGTGCCCAGCCTTCTTCTCTTTTGGGTAGAATTCATACAGTTTGCTCAGGAACCAGAGAATCTCTGTAGAATAATTCCATAATTCATGTCCCAAAGGTGTGGTTTTTTTTTCAAGAGGCAACTGGACTTTCTTGTTTTTTCCTTTGAAGACGTTTAGCTTCTCATCCCAGAAGCTTCTTCAGCTCTGGCTGGATGTTGGGAAAATGGAAGGATTTATACTCCTTGCAGGCAGCTGGTCATTTGCATCCCTTTAGAGCAGGGGTCTTCAAACTTGACAGCTTGAAGACTTGTGGACTTCGATTCTCAGAATTCCTTCTCCAGTCATGTTAGCTTAGGAATTCTGGGCGTTGAATTCCACAAGTCTTAAAATGGTCGACGTTGAAGACCCCTTGACAGCTTTAAGACTTGTGGACTTCAACTCCCAGAATTCCTCCTCCAGTCAGGTTAGCTCAGGAATTCTGGGAGCTGAAGTCCACAAGTCTTAAAATGGCCGACATTGAAGACCCTATGCTAGACCAGGGGTTTTCAAACTTGACAGCTTTAAGACTTGTGGACTTCAACTCCCAGAATTCCTCCTCTCAGTCATGTTAGCTCAGGAATTCTGGGAGTTGAAGTCCACAAGTCTTAAACTTGCCAAGTTGGAAGACCCTTTTTTTAAAGAGTCGTTGAGGCTACTTGGAGGTTTATTTGTGTCCTTGGGGTCACCTGCGTAGTGCAAATGGGTGCAGAACCTTCTTGGAACTGCTGAAAGGACCGCTGTAGACTGGAGATAGATCCTGTCATATCCCTTCTCCTCTGTTGAAAGAGGGCTCTTCAATTTTGACAGGTGGCTTCAAGGGCTCTCAAAACAAGAATATTCTATTCTATTCTATTCTATTCTATTCTATTCTATTCTATTCTACAGTCTATTCTATTTACTTCACAGTCTATTCTAGTCTACATTCTATTATATTCTACATTATTTACTCTACATTCTGTTCTATTCTATTCTATTTACTCTATTCTACATTCTATTCTATTCTACATTCTATTCTATTCTACTTTCTATTCTGCTTACTCTATTCTATCCTGCATTCTATTCTATTCCAGCCCTTTGAGAGCTGTAGGCCACAAAATTTCATTTTAACGTATGCCATTTAGTGTACATTCAAAGTGACAATAAAGTTATTTTAAGTTCTAAGTCGAAGGTTACTGAACGAAGTGTTGTAACTTGAGGACAATCCGAACCTCTAAATGCACCCCCTTGTATTTCCACATTTTTATTAACTTGGTCAACTCACAACTTCTGTTTCTGCAGAAAGTGGACCTTACCAGCAAGGCTGTGGCAGAAATCTTGGCTAGAACCACGGAATACCTGCAGCCTAACCCCGGTGAGAGTCGTGTCGTCATGGTCACAAGCCACGTTTGTCCCGTCTGTTGTGATTTTTGTTGAGAAAAAAAAAAGCTGCACGGGCCGTGTTCCCCACGGAAACTATAGAAATACGTCTCACTTATCTCTCGAGGGGAAAAAATGTTTTCCTTTCCTTTTCCCTTCCCTTCTTTTTTCCCCTCTTCCCTTGTCTCTTCTTCTTACCTCCCCTTTCTCTTCCCTGCCCTGCCCTTCCCTTCTTTCTTCCCTTTTCCCTCGCTCCTTGTTCTTTCCTTTCCTTCCATCTTCCCTCTCCTCTGCTTACTTCCTTCCTTCCTTCTTTCCCCTCTCCTCTCTCCTTCTCTCCCTCCCTTCTCTCATTCCACCCTTCTTTTATCCCCTCCCCTGCCCCCTCCCTCCCTCCATCCCTTCCTTCCTTCCCTTCCTTTTTTTCCCCCTTCTTTCTTTCCTGTGTTATGTTCCTAAGTCAAGATCTACCCATCGTTCACTTGAGAAGGCCAATTCCAGTTCAGTGGGCTATCCCAGCCATCGGTGATGGTCTTCTCTGGGCGATTTCCACCCTACGGTCCAAAAGGGCTGGGCTGATCCAGCCAGCGGGGCAGAATTCTTGTAACCTGTGGTCACTTCTTGGATCCAGCCTACATTCCTGCAGGCTTTGCAGCCCCCATTTGTGAAGTAAGCCCACCAGGGATTCATTACAACTTGGACACAAGGCTTCAAAAATTTCTCCGCCTTCTCCTCCCCTTCCTTTAAAAATAATAACCAAAAAGAAAAAAGAATTGGCAAACTTCACACCCAGTTTATTTTCTGCTCCAGATGCTGCAAAAACTGTGATTTTTTTTATTTTTTATTTTTTTTCAAAACTGAAAATCAGGTGAAACCGGAACTCTTATTTACTTGGGATAGTTCAAAAACAATATCCGAAATAGATGAAATACTTAATCTTACACATATTGACAGCGGCCAGAATGACTTACGTGCAAGTGTGGAAGGAGCGTGTGGCCCCCAACAGAAGAATTAATTTTACAAAAAAAATAAATAAATAGCAGAGTCTGCTGAAGTGGATATGCTCACACACTAAAAATAAAGAGAAAAAGAAGAATCGGAATCCTGCTCAGTTTGGCATAGATGGTACCTGTGACCCGAAAAGAGAGATAAGAATAGGATGACTTATAAGAGAATTCTCAAGGAAGTGATACATAAGGTGCAAATAGACAAAAGGGTTAAAGAGGAATAATAATAATAAATGTAAATAAAGGCAATAGGTATTAATTATATATATATATATGAATAGACGATAGAAATGTAATACTATATGTTCGCGTTAAAGCTGCTGAAAAAATTAATTAAGACGTGTATTGGTGGAAAACGATAAAAATTTATTGTTAAAAAAAAAAAGATGTCCTCTGAGCTTGTTGGTTTTCTTCCAGTTGTTTCATTACCCATCTGTGTATCATCAGTGGTAGAAGGGAGTACGGTTTCTTCTTATTTTTATATCCTTGTGGCTCACTTGTAAGACTGATGACGTTTCCTAGTTGGGTCATGAAACGTCTGCAAGATAACCAACAAGCTCAGAGGGCACCAGGGAGTCTGCAGTCCTCCCCTCCTCCTCCTCCGCCAACACCTTCTTCTCCTGCGCCTCCTCCTCCTCCTCCTCCTCCTCCTCTCTTCTCCACAAATCCCACTCCTTTCTAGCACTGATGATGTTACTTAGTTGGGTCATGAAACGTCTGCAAGGTAACAACCAAGCACCAAGGACCCTACAGTCCTTTCCTCTTCCTCCTCCTCCCCCATGCAAATCCCACTTCTTTATAGCACTGAAGACATTACCTAGCTGGGTCATGAAACGTCTGCAAGATAACGATCATGCTCAGAGAGGGACGCCACAGTCCTCCTCCTCTTCCTCCTTCTTCTTCCCCTGTTGTTCCTCCTCCCATTTTCTGCTCCTTCACCCCCCCCACCACTCTTTCAAGACCCACCTCCTTCTACCACGGATGATGTTACCTAGTATGGTACTGAAACATCGGCAAGAAAACCACCCAACTCCGAGAGTATCAAGGACCCTCAGGGTTCAACCCTGAGCTATATGACTATTGTATTTTGTGAGCAAGGCTGCAGAATGTGGACTCAACCGCGGCCATTTCCTTCTTTCCCTTGTGCCAGCCTCCCGGGCGAAACTGACCATGCTGAACACGGTTTCCAAGATCCGAGGGCAAGTGAAGAACCCAGGGTATCCACAATCCGAGGGCCTCCTGGGCGAGTCCATGATGCGATACGGCAAGGAGCTGGGCGACGATTCCAACTTTGGTGAGCATCTGCCTCTCCGCGAAAGGAATGGTTGGCGGAAAGTTACACCCGGCCTCTAGGTTAAAAAAAGATGGATGGATGATATAGGTAGATACTGTAGCTAGATTAGATAGATAGATAGATAGATAGATAGATAGATAGATAGATAGATAG